GTGCTAGTCTTGAGCTGAAGAGCTGAGGGACAGCGCCCAGGCCCAGAGCTCAAGCCCCATGATGGACAAAAAAAAAAAAAGTCACCTTCAGAGCAACTCCTCTCCTGATAGCCTGCTGAATGGAAATTCCCGTTCTCCTTCCTCTTGGACTTTTCTCTGTGGCACTTAACATCTCCTAAAATAAAACATTCTTATTTAGTGTATTTGTGGTCTCCTGCAAATTTCATGATTCCTAAAAGGGTGCTTGGCACACAGTAGGCATTCAATGAGTATTTGTTGAATGGATAAATTATTAATCCCTAAACTACTAAAATGAGAATCATAAATCCCACTTAACTGAGCTACTAGAATTAAAGGAGATAATTATGCTAAAACATTGTGGCTCAACACGTGTCGGCATTTATCTAGTATTAACCTTTTGAATTCCTGGCAATAAAATTATATAGAGTCAGGTTATCTCTGAGTAATTAATGCTTCCATAAAGGATGGGAAATGACAGGAAGCTACTCCCAGCCTCAAGTAAGGCTATGACCTGGCAGTTTACCTCTTGACATTATAATTCACTGCTATTTTTTAACTTCTGTATATAAAGATGTGGGAAGCTGCTGGAGCGCAGTCTGTTGATTGTCCATTTTCATCTTTCTGATTATTATCTACAGTCACAACATGGTATGTGGCTGGGACAAAGCAATCTTTAGAAATATTTGCATAAATTCAAGTGCAACTCAATACAACCTTTGGATTTGTCCAAAAACTTCAACTAGATTTTCTCCCCCCTGTTCCCCATAATAGGACATTGCTTTACAATGATTTCAACCACAGCCTCACATTACAATGAGGAGCTTAAAGCAGCAGCAGCAGCAACAACAAAACAAGGCCAAAGTTTCATCCAAAGGAAAGAAAGGGTTTGGGGTATTAGAATTATTTTTTTTTAACACTCCCCAAGAGCCTCTCTAACTGGCTTAAACCAGCTGCTGTCACATGGAAGTAACATGCATTGAGAGGTATGTAGGCAAGGAGCTAAGTATGGTGATTTCCCCATCATGGTACTGTTAGTATTAAAATGATTTCCAAGCACTGGTTAAACAGTGAACACACACTTACTGCTCGGCTTTGTGGGGGAAATAAAATTTATTAAATCTCATTGTAAATGACATTACATTTCTTAGTGCTTTTCTCTCTGGATTTACCTGCTAAAATGCACAACAGGAATGGAGAACACGGGAATCTAGATCTGGATTTTATGTGAAGTTCTGTAAGAGAAATGTTCTAACTGCTTCCCGAAATATAAGCTCCGTCTGACTCAGGCCCATGTGATTGTCATTTGTTCTATTCTATACCTAGCAATGCTGAATTTTCTTATAGGAAAAAAAAATCTTATCTTCAATTTTCCATTCAGATATAGGCATAGAGTGTAGCCTTCCAAAGGTAATGTCCACAAATGCATGGTTTCTTTTCTTTCTTTTCTTTTCTTTTTTCTATTGTGAATGGAACTAGATATCCCGTTAAAGTATCTGCTGTTTTTCTCATATACTAGGCTAACTGTACAGTATTTGCTGGTCCCCAGGTCTAAAATGTCTCTTGTATGCCCTGGCTTGCACAAAGAAAACTCCTGCAAAACCGGTTAATAATTTGGCCATCCCAAGAGTCCAGCATGTTGAGTTAATTTTTCACAGAGGTTCCCAGATGTGCTGGAAGACTCTCTCACAGAATATCCTGCCAGTATTTATTTTAGATTTTCATTTGACCTTTCTTGTATTTGATATGAAACACATGTTAAAAAGCAATACCTGACAAATAATAAAGTGAACTTTTCTGCATAAGCAAAGAGCCCCATAAATACCTACTTTGCAAAGTTTTCGATGGCAGCAATGTAAGGTTTTCATTGCGAAACTGGGCTAGCATTTAGCCAAGTTAATCATACATCTTGACAATGATTCTTTATCCAACACCACTTTGGTATTCAGTGGGTGGATCATTAAGCTCATGAAGAAATAAATGAGAGAATTCTCGGGTAATGAGAAACATCTATATAACATGTGGAGAAGTACATAGATTTCATTTTACCAAATTCTGAATTTCAACTTTAAGAGGTACCTGCTCTGATCCCAGCTGGTTCATTTGAGCTCTTCACTTCTGGGAAGTTAAGAATAATAAGGTGATTCCGTGGACATTCCAAGAAGCGTCTGTATTAGTGGCTTCCCTTTTTAGGTATTTTCCATGGCATTTCCATGTGTGGAAATGGTGGCTGGCAGAACATCATATGCAGACTTCTTTTTCCTGTGCCTTTATGCCTATATTTTCTTTGCTATTTACTTTTTAGAGAACTCTGGGGAGAACCATACTATACCATATGAACCGTTTCTTCTTACATAAATTTTATGTCTATTTTACCATTCCTCTTGCCTAGACCTAGCTTTAAAAATCCTGGATTTATGAAATATAATTGTGGCTCCAGACTTTGGTGAAGGATCAAATAGGTATTCCAGATACTTGAGGGCAAGGAGCTGCCATTGAAGAATAAATGAAGCTACCGTTTGCTGTCCCAAAACGCGACATAAATTCCACTGCAATCCCACTGGTATTAAAGTTTTCCTGGAGCTAAAACATTTACCACTCCAATTCCCTTTGCATTTCAGAATAATAATTACTATTCATATTTTTATGGAGTATTTTCAGTTAACTAGACACATTTATTATCACATTTTTCTATCCTCAGAACAAATGGACGCTTTTTGGAGGGAGTGGATTCATGGTCAAAGTATCTTATCCAAGCTGGTGACACCAATGCAGAGATGGAGTAAGAAGTTCCAACCTTCCATCCCTGGCATGGAAACATCAAAAACCAAGCTGACATGGTCAGAACTAAATTTGATAAAGTTCTAGAAAATAGCCCAAGGTTTATAGCAACTGAACAAATACTAGACAGTCTTCCAAAATAAAAGCCATGCTAGAAATGGTAAGATGGCTGTTCTAACTTCCCCTTTTGGCTCAGGAATCAGTCCACATTCTCTATCTGGGCTTCTGGTGCATTTGTTTTTCCTAATCTCTCTGGGAACTACCTGAAGATCAAATGCAAGGCACTTGTTAATCCATCAGATTGGAAAAGTGGAGGGCATTGCTAAGAAACTTGATAAAACAGATGAACAAACTGTAGCTGCCTGGGATGAAAGATTATGCCAAAAGCTAAGGAGAAAAGTGTATTGTTCCATTATGTTTTACATCAACTAACTCACTTTTTTTTTCAAGAGAAGAGTATAATCATCATCATCATCATCCATTTTACACTTGAGCAAACGAAAGTAACTTTTTGTTGTTGGTTGTGGGGCTTGAAATCTGGGCCTAGGCCCTGTCCCTGAGCTCTATCAGCTCAAGGTGAGCGGTCTACCACTTGAGCCACAGTGCCACTAACCTAACTTACAAGAGGTCAATGCAGTTAATAAGCCCAGTTAGGAAGACTGGACAAATTCAGGCTCTTGATGACTTCACCCTTGTGCCTCTAAATGTGGACAGATGTGAAGTCAAACCATTAAAAAAGACTGCAATGGTTGTTTATGTAATAAGCTTGTTCATACAATGTTGTTTTTCTAAATTTAAGATTTATTTCCCTTTAAGCTTATTTCTATCTTATTTGCTTGAAAGACAAGAACTGACTTAATTGCTGATAGATTTCCTATTCTTCTCAGATAGTTGCAGAATAGATTAATGATTTAATGATTTGTTTCTTGTGGAAAAATAAAAAGATAAAATAATGTATCTTTGCACAGTGCTATGGTTAAAATTTCATGAAAGGCAAATTTTCATTTTTAGGACGTAGATAATAATGGGAGGGTGGAGTAGAGAAGGCAATATATATTTTTTTCTTGAATAAAATAATACATTGCTCTTGCCTATTATTTATAATTTAGATAGCCCCAGGATGTAAGCTCTATAGAAAAAGACATTGTGCCCTGAATTATGAAAAAACTAAATTCAAGTGCCTTGGCCCAGTAGATATCCTCTCTCTCTCTCTCTCTCTCTCTCTCTCTCTCTCTCTTTTTCTCTCTCTCCCCCCCATGCCTATCTATATTGCTACTAGGTAAATGCTGTTCAAAGTCAAAAGCAGATTCTATGTCAAATAGAAGATGGTTGCCTGTGCTATCTTATTTTCTATTTATGCAAAATCTCCCTTGCGTTCCAATGCTATTTATAAAAGGAATTAAAATTTAAGTCTTGCATTTGCTATTGATTCACAACCTTGGGATTACAGAAGAGCGATACTAGGAAGTATGCAATGGTCAGATTCTGTGAGTGTTAGTTATCTAAATTTGCTCTGCAAACTTCTTTTACCATTCCCATTGGGCCCAGAAAGCCATTAGCACTCAAGTGCACAAAGGAAAATGAATCTGAACAGTCTATTACTTAAACATCTGCTGAAGTCATCTCATCCTGTTACATTTACTTTATAACTGCCACAAAATGCCAATTCCATGTACATTGGTCCCCTGTGCTTAGTTTCTTAAAGGAAAGGGATGAATATTATCTTGGAATAGTCATGGAATTGATTCATTTTTATACTAAAACTATTTTCAAGGGGAAACGTAATTCCTGACTATCAGATGAAGTGCCTGGGGAAGAACTCTGTCATTACACTTTACAAACCACCACAAACAGTTTCTGGTAGATTCTTTCAGCAAATACTCATGCACACATACCTACAACATACATTGGGATGATTTCCTCTGTTAGCATGCCTGCATGCTTACGTATACATATTAGGGCTTTATTCTCTCTAAAGTATAGCAAGAATGAGGTTTCAGGGCCAGGAAGGAGAAAATAGGTAAAAAGAGTCTGGATTAAAATCTTTAGAATTTCTTTCATGAGCTAGACACTTCATTTATCAATACTTTGTTCTCTCAATTAACACTACTAAAATGTCTATATGCAAAAAACAAAAGAAAACATTTATTTCAGAGCAAGAATGTGTTACACATCTGGGTGATAATTAACAGGACGTGGCCTTACAGTAATTAGATGCTGAAAGAGACCGGAGGAAAACAGCTCAGATCACAGCAGTTTGTACAACTCTCCTGGAGACCAGTCAGACTCTACCCATGATGTTATAGAAAATCTGCCTCAAAGATTGCTAAGGTAGGTCAAAATCTGACAATATTTATCATACATTCTTCAAATCCTCCAAGCTACTAAAGTGAAAAATGCCTTCTCCATATATTTTTATAGTATATTTTTATCTTTCATTACCAGGTAAAGAGAAAGGGTCAGCAACAATATTTGGGTAGATTGTTCATATCTGAAAATAAAATGATAATCCACAATAATATACAAACTAATTTGTTTTATTTTGTGTCAGTACTAGGGCTTAAACTCAGGGCCTCACACTTTCACTTGGCTTTTTCAAATGTTCTACCACTTGATCCACATCTCCACTTCCAGCTTTCTGTTTTCAGCTGAAGATAAGAGTCTCAGATTTGTCTGGGATCCTCAGATCCTCTGCCTTCTGAGTAGCTAGGATTACAGGCATCAGCCAAAGGTGCTCAGCCAGAACGAAATTTTAAAATGTCAGCATTCAGTGCTGATGAGGTTAAATGAATCTAGCAGTCACACACACACAAGAAAACAAAAGAAAAATTAGGGAAAAACCCCAATTTTCTCATAGGTTGTATGTATTTTTTACTTTTAAAGATTTTGAAAGCTATTATACTTTAAAAACTTTAAAACTCCCAACACTTTTATCCTACTTATTTCAGGCTGTGGGTAAACTTGAGTGCATGTGCATCCTACCTGCACTCTTCAGTTCTATATGGAGTTGTAGAATTTCACTGGACTTGTGCAAATGTTTAACTTAGGTACAAAGTGTTCTCCAAGAGGGCTCATAGGCCATGGTAGTGATATTTCAGGAGGTTCCTGAAAATTTAAATTCCGGGATCTAATTCAAAAAAGTGAAGTCCTGGGGGCATGCCTTTAAATGCTTAGACCAAGTGCCCATTCTCCTCCTCCTCTCTCTACATGAGCATAGAACCTCTTCCACTATATGCTCCCCCTCCACTGATGTTCTGTCCACGTACATGGAGTCAAGCAACACTGAACCTTTGAAAAACATGGGCTAAAATGATATGTCTAATATTTTGGTCACAGAGACAAAAAGAAAACTGGAAGTGACAGGGATCATTGCTCTTATTACTTGTCCCTGTTGCTCTTAAGCCTTTGGAACTGTTTAGAAACATTTGGAAACCCAGGCTAGCCAAACCTTAGGAAACAGTAAGTAGAGTTTAATGGGTGAGTCTGGTGGCAACTCAGAAGACCAGAAGATGGTTGTCAACAAGTGCCTAAGCCCTGAAGGGGTGTGAGATGCTGAGTATGGAGCTATAAGATTTGTTTTTCCATGCTGTGTTTTGGGTCTTGTTTTGGTCCAATATTTCTTTGTTATGGTCCTATTCCGTCCATTGCAATGGGAATGTTTTACTTTATGTATTTATCTTTTTTTCTTTAAGTTTTACAGTGGCTCATAGCTAAGAGTTGCCTTAGGTCCCAGCAAATGCTTTGAACTGGAGCTTTTGAACCATGTTGGAACTGTTAAGACTGATGACTCTTGGAAATACATTTTGCCTTATAAGATGGACAAGAGCATTTTGGGGGTGAGAGGGGAATGTTTTGGTATGGATAGCAATTGTATACTAAAACTGCTTTTGTGTAATACTACCAGCTGATTCCTTGCTGGTAGTATTATTCTGGAAGGATCTGGAAACAACAGGAGTTTGACCTAGTTGAAGGAAATATGTCAATAAGGGATTGTTATTGGGAGTGGCTTGTCTCTGCTCCCTTCCTTTGGTTCTCTCTGCTTCCTGTCTTCCATGAGACATATTAGTATTTGCTACAGACTACCTCTGTTATGATTTTCTGTCCCATGTAGGTCCAGAAACATGGAGATGTGACTACATACAGAGCCATCTAAAATGTCCTCGCAGGTATTTTGGCCACTGTCATGAGACAGACAACTAACATATTAGGACTCTCTTATACTAATTCAGGACAGTTTCATTCTGTATCATTGAAAAAAAAAAGCGGGGGAGGGGGTGCAAGGTACAGGGAGTGTCAGACTTTCCTCATGGGAATTTCCTTTAAATCTCATGGTTTTCAATCATTAGTTCTATTGACTGGTTTCCCCATCAGCTTTGTTCTCTTCCAAAGTAAACCCACATTGTGGCAAAATACTTTGTTAGCTTCCCAAAGACCAACACAGAACATGCCAGACAAAGGTTACCTGTGGCTACCATGAACTCTGAATCTCAAACTTGTGTATATTGTAATGACTTCCTGCTTTCTGGGTAAAACAAAAACAAAACAAAACAATAAAAACAAAAGGAAAAAGAATTCTAAACACAGAATTTTAGTATGTCATGCAAATAGTCCCAAACATTCCTGAAGACTTAATTTTATTCACAATCACAGTGACAGCAGACTACATTGGCATAGCTATCCAGATAGTCTTATGTACCTAATTTCTGATTTTTTTTGGATAGATAACTGTTGGAAAACACAAAACTGGAAGATTCATCTAAGATTATGTAGAGAAAAAAATACTAGAAAAAAATTAGAGGAACAAAAAGTATTTCTACAAAAGTATTGTAAAAAAACAACCTATATTTTCTCTAAGGGCCCTTATGTGAAAACAATCAATTATATTAAAAATAAGTCCAAGCTGGGTACTGGTGGCTTATTCCTATAATCCCAGCTATTGAGGATCACCCTTTGAAGCCAGCCTGGGCAGGAAAGTGTTAGATAGACCCTTATTTCCAATTAACTACTAAAAAAGCTGGAAGTGGAGCAGTAGTTCTAGTGGTAGAGCACTAACCTTGAGCAAAAAAGCTTAGGAGCAGCACCCAGTTCAAACCCCAGGATACACACACACACACACACACACATTTCAACTTTAAACGAAAAGTTCCTTTACCCATAGAATACATAGACTAACATCAAAATTAGAAGTCTAGGTCCAGGGATGCAGCTCAGAGGAAGAGCATGTGTTGGCCCTGAGTTTGCTTCCTAGGACTAGAAAATAAAAACAGATAATTCAGAAAGATAATATGACAAGAAGGAGCTGTCATATCAGGTGATCTCAAATTAGGGGTGTCCACAAATGTAAACTTGTAAAGGCTGAGTTCAAAGGCTGATTGGAGAATGTCGTTTATTTAGAAGACAGTCACAAAGCTGGTAAATGGTTTCAAGTGTTGAAAAAGATGTCCCAGTCCCATAAAGACAGGACTATCATATTAACTTTTTTAAAGAAAAAACTGGACTGGATACATTCTTTTCTCTGTGATGGTTGGTTATTCTCATGTAGTATAATACCAGGGACAAAAAAGCATGGAACATGGTAGGGGTGGAACCATCTCTAGAGCTATGAAAACTATGGCAGCATTTTTCTTGTGTGCCTTGGCTGAAGATGAGAGTGTGCTGTGCAAACTTCCACGTGTCCTCTTAAGGCTCAGGTCCTTGGAGAACATGTTTTTGAACAACTCCCTTCAACTCTAAAGCAAATTACTCAAACATTGTAAAGAGGGGAGACTATAATGAGGGTAAAAATAAAAATGTAGACTCCAACCACATTTTAGGCACAAGAAAAAAACACAAACCAATATTACATAAAAACAAATAATTTGTTTAAAAAGCTTGAGTGAAGTTTTGACAGGGAGAAAGTACAAACAGCAGGTATTTGAAATAATGAATAAGAATAAGAACTACGCATTTCTAACCAATTCAGCTTTTGAAACTTAGTGCCAAAGAAACATGACTTCAAAACATGGAGAGTATAGGGCTGTATTGGCTTTGAGGACACATGTTCCATATCACCTCATGGCCCTATATGTGTGACATTACTTATTAAGTAATTATTGTTTTATTATTAGATAATTATTTTATTAGTATTTTATTAGTCCCTGACTTTTCTGGATAAATTTTAATGTATACTAAAAGAATTGTAGCTCTGATTGGTTTGTCTCAAAATAGATCATGAGTCATTTAGGAGGGATTCCAGGAACTAGAATTTAAGAACATATTTAAACAAATTACATATGTCTCAGTTTCATTTTATATAATATTGGTTAGTTCCTCCTATAATTGTTTCTATGGATCAATAGGCATAATTGACTTAAAAGTTCATTAAAGGATGACTGTGTTGGAGTGGCTTATCAAACAACTCAAATATCTAAAATAGCCTTACTCTAAGTATTGAAAATTAGAGGTTTTTGGAGATGATTACCCTAATTGTGAAACTTAATGGTTTGTTACATGGTGAGCTCCAATTCTGTCTTCAAAAGCCAGGAGGCTATTAACTTCTAAGTGCTAATAGGAATAGGTAGAATCAATTAACACTGTTTTCAATTTCTCTGCACCTCTCATCAACATTATATTTCAATGCAGTCACAGCAATCATCCCCAAACTTACTGCTCTATTATTTAGAAATTAATCATTGCAGCGTGAATACACTCCACTTTTGGAATTTAGTTTCATTGGCCTTATTTCCATAACATAAACTCAATTTATTTATATAAAGTTTTTAAGGGATGTGGTTTTCTACTGTGGCATTGTTGCTGAGACCCAACTTATAGTCTGATTCCTCTGAAGTAGTTTTATACCCAGCTATTATCTCCTCTCAACAGTGGCATTGGGGAGTAGTCATGTGTTGGCAATGCCAACACATTATTCCAATTCAAAGTGGAATAATCTTGTCATTGGGAATATCTGTAAATAACCCACCGACCTCACTAAGTTTTGTATAAATAAGAGTGTAAATATAAATCATATTCTCCAATCTGATAGTTCCCTCCATCTGTGGGAACTTAGGTGACTTTGTGTGTTTTTTTTTAAAGAGTTTGTATTAAAAAAAAAGATTAACTATATCTCTGGGAAAGGATTGTCTTCCAGATGGAAAAATAATCATATTTTCATTCTCCCACCATTCACATCAGAAATGTAAATAACCTACATCCTGCTTAAACACACCTGTATTATTTCTCATGAGAACAAGAAATGGGTTGGCTTATGAATTCTGAAAGTGGCCATAAGGTCTTAGAGAATCATTGCTTTCGGATGTAGGAAGGATCTTGGTAATTGGTTTCACCCCCTAACA